TAGCTAATGCCTGTCTCCCCCACTTGCGTGTAAGCTCCAGGAGGGTAGGCACTGCTGCAATCTTGTTCACTGCTAACCCCCTAATGCTTGTCTGACACGAAGCATAAGCACTCTTTAAAATATTTGTTGAATGAACAAATGAAAGAAATTTCCTACCTTAGGGTGGACAACAGGCAGCATGCATGACATTAAATGCTGTATTGCATCTATTGCTTTTTAACAATTCTATGATTTGGAAGGATAGATCTATTGTTACCCTCATTTCACAGAAGAGGAAATTGGAGCTTGGTAATCATCTCAATATTGCAGTGTTTGTCTGTGCTGGAGCCAGCGTGTAAATTCCTGACTTTTTGACCCCATAGCCTGGGCTTTAACTTGGCCTTTTGGGTTTATTATCTCTACATAGATAACCAGAACAATAGTAATAATAATGGCTATCCTTATTGAATCCTCTATTCTTATTACTGTGATGAGTAATTACCAAAAATCTGTGAAATAGGTACTATTGCTATTTCTGTTTTACCTATAGGGAAACTGAGGCTTGGAGGAAGTCAACTAACCACTCTTGAGCTATCTAGATTACATTGAATATAAACCAAAACACAACCACACAAAATCCATGTAACTTAATCTTCCTTTGCCAGATTTAAATTAGGAAGAACAACAGATCTTTCTAATAATATTCAGAGAAGCAATTTCACACCAGACATTCTCTCAGGGGCTGGTCTCACAAATGAGAGCTCCCTTGTTTCTGGAGCCTTTTGTGCTATTTTCGACAATTATTTTTCATTTTCCTCTGCTGAGCAAGCCAATAATTGGTGACTGCTCATCTGGTCACTTCCCCGGATGACAAATCACGTTCCTGTGAATTCCCCCCGTGCTTTCTAACTCTCTCCAAGGTCGTCAGTCAAAGGCAACAAATAAAACTTTGATCACCTGTGTTTGTGACAGGGAGACTGGGCTGCCAAAGGCCCCTGGTTGCTTGGTGACAAGGCCTCATGGCCTCTGGAGGCTTCAGCTCCCTGGAGCTGCTGTGCAGACTGCAGGTTTGGGGCTGTATTAGTTTTTCTCTGGTTATCATAACAAACTGCCACGAACTCAGCAGCTTAAAGCAATACAATCTTATTCTTCAGACCTGACGCATGGTTATTCCTTGGGTATATTGTTTGCCCTTGGGATTAAGTTTCATTAATGTAACAAATATTTTAATGAGTATTTATGCCTTATGTCGGTACCAGAGGCTAAAAGTTCAAGATCAAGCTGGTGGCTGGGCCGCACCCTCTGGAGGCTCTAGGGGAGAACCTTCCTTGCCTCTTCCAACTCTTCCAAGGCACCGCCACGCATACCTTGGTTTGTGACCACACAACTCCACTCCCTGCCTCTATCTTCACATGGACTTTTCCTCTTCTGTCTTTTACAGGACTATACTTGGCATTTGTTCCAGAGCTCACTCGGTTAACCTGAGATGATCTTATCTTGAGATTCTCAACTGCATTCACAAAGACCCTCTTTTTACGTAAGATTATATTCACAAATATGAGAATAAGGACTGGGACAACTCCTTTTGGGGACTACCACTCAGCCCACTACAGTGTCCATGCAAAGTTCTCTCTGCAGACTCCCCCTTTTAGCAGGGGAATGGCAAGAGACTAGGGGATATCATTAATATCACGCAGATGCTGCTATAGGTTAAACGTTTGTATTTTCCCAAATCTACATGTTAATAACTACCCCCAAGGTGATGGTATGAGGAGGTGGGGTGCTGGGAGGTGACTGAGCCATGAGGGCAGAGCTTTCATGATTGGGATTAGACCTTTATAAAAGAGGCCCTGGGAAACCTGGCTCGTCCTGACCATCATGTGAGGGCATAGTGAGATAGTACCTTTCTGAGCCAGAAAGCAGGTCCCCACCAGACACTGAATCTGCTGGTGGCTTTACCTTGAACTTTTCAGTCTACAGAATTATGAGAAAGAGACGTCTATCATTTATAAGCTGCCTGGTTAATGGCGCTTTGTTACAGCAGCCCAAGTGGGCTAAGACAGATGCTCAGTGTTTTGGAGAGGTATTTTTGGCTTTTGTTTTTGTTTTTTTGAGACAGTGTCTCACTTTGTCACCCTTGGTAGAGTGCTGTGGCATCATAGCTCACAGCAACCTCAAACTCCTGGGCTTAAGCAATTCTCTTGCTTCAGCCTCCCAAGTAGCTGGGACTACAGGCACCTGCCACAATACCTGGATATTTTTAGAGACAGAGTCTGGCTCTGGCTCAGCCTGGTCTTGAACCTGTGAGCTCAGGCAATCCACCCACCTCGGCCTCCTAAGTCCTGGGATTACAGACATGAGCCACCGCACCTGGTCAGATGTCAGTTTTTAAATAACTCAGCTGTTACTTCCCAGATTCTATTTTATGGGCAATTCCTGTGTATCTACTTGCTGGGCACTGGTAGTTCAGACCTCAGCTGCTCTCCACATTCTCGGAATCTAATCAGACAGGCAGATAAGGGCATAAGTCCTCATGATGCAATGTGGCTTGTTCTCTAACAGAGCTGTGTACACGGCCATGTAATGTGCACAGTGAACACGTGAAGAAGGCAGGGCCGGCCGTGTAGAATCTCTTTACTGTGGAGGAAACCGAGGACCAGCGAGCATGGATGGTCCAGGACCCCACCGCTTGGACTTTACAGAGCGAAGGCTTGAATCCAGAACTGCTGACAATGGTTCAGAGGCCATATGCTTCTGGCCGCTGAAAACAAACAAAAAACAAGTGAACAAAATCCCAAACCAGTTTATCCTCTGAGAAGTCAGGTCCACATGTTCTCAGTGACTGTCCTTTGAATTCCAGAAACTTCTATTCCATCGGCGGGTAACTGGTCCTTCCCTAACACCCTTGCTCTGTGCCTCAGAGATCTTTTCTTTCTCTTCTTCTCTGCTTCTTTTCTTTTGAGTTAGGAGGAGAGGTTGGATATGAAAACCCTGGGTATCTTTTAACAAGATGTTTTCAAACAGCAATGAAACAGGAAAGAGAGGTCCCAGGCTGAGAAATAAATGCACAGTGAGTATGCTGCAAATTGACTTCCTTCTAGGCCTTTCTTTCTAAGAAAACCTCTGCAGAAGCCTTTGAGGGGAGCCTTGCTTCAGTCTGCCCCGCCCCTCCCCCCTTCCCCTTGATGCTATTCCCTCACTCAGACCCTCTGTTGGGCAGTGGACCAGGGACAGATGCACAGGGAGTTAATTAATTACCTGGGCTCACAGAGGTCCTCGGGATTGGGCTCACCAAAAGGCAGCTCCATTCCGTTCAACAAGTATTTATTGGGCACCTAGCAAGAGTCAGATTTGTGCTTGTCACTAGGCCGCAAAGACAGTTAAGATATAGGCTCTGCCTTCAAGGAGCTTCGTGTCTAACGGACTCCCAAGATAGAGACACTTGAGGCTGAGCAGAAAGAGGAAACCCCTGGCCAAGGTTGCTACCAGAAGGCCTAAGGGCAAGGATGGGTAGGACCTGGCAGCGAGGTGGCTGGAGATGGGTCGCACTTGCAGTGAGATACAGAGCCTCGTGGAGAGCACATTTATATATGGCTTGTAGAATTATGAGTAAGAGGGAATCTGCATGTGTCGAACCTGGAGAGGAAGGAGAGGCAGCAGAATAGTTTCTGGTCCAGAAGGTCTATGCCAATTTTTCTGCCTTGAAGAGTTTTGACATTGAAAATAACCATACACGCCTCCTTTAATAGAAGAGTGTTATAAGAATCAAAAGGATAATAAACCATCATCAATACATATTATATTGCCAATTAAACTGGTCGTGTCCTCTGGTCCAGCCCTTACGGCTGAGCCCTTTTAAGCCTGAGACAGGTGCCAAAGTCATCCTGTCATGTCGTTCCTTTTGTACCCAGCTGCATTTTTAGGGGGACAGATTTAATCATGGGGAACTTTACTTTTAAAAAAGGACACATTTGTTTGGCACTGAGTTAATATAAGTTCTAAGCTGCTGCTACTTCTTTGTCAAAAGTGATGGTGGCATTTTTTGGGACCCATAAAGAAAATCACAGATGGAAGAGAATTTGCTTTTTGTTGTTCCAATACTTTTATTGTGCCCAAGAGAGCATTAAAAATGGGAGAAGGTATTACACAAGGGAAGAGGGCTAGATGCAGCATGCAAGGTGTCTAGTTAGATAGAAATTGTCAGAAACCCACTAAAGACATATCAGAGCTCAGGTGGCTGAGGTGCCTGTAACAACATCTGGCTCATTTTTTTTATTTTTAGTACAGATAGGCATCTTACTCTTGCTCAGGCTAGTCTTGAACTCCTGAGCTCAAGGGATCTTCCCACCTCACCTTTCCACAGTGCTAGGATTATAGGTGTGAGCCACAGCACCAGGCCTCAAGATAATGTCTATTTATTTATTTATTATTATTATTATTTTTGAGATAAAGCCTGGAGTTGAGTACCCTGGCATCATAGCTCATAGCAACCTCAAACTCACAAGCTCAAGTGATCCTCTTGCCTCGGCCTCCGGAGAAGCTGGGACTAAGGCACTAGGCCTGCCAAAAACATTTGGCTAGCTTTTCTATTTTTAGTAGAGGAAGGGCGGCGGCTAGGGGATGTCTCACTCTTGCTCAGGTTGATCTCGAATTCTTAAGCTCAAGCAATCCACCCACCTGGACCTCCCTTACTACTACAGGTATGGGACACTGCTCCCAGTCCAAAAATAATGTCTTAAATACAGGGTGATTTTTCTATTCAGTGGAGCTGAAGGTCATTGGCACTTCAACAGGAAGCCATGGAAGAGATGGCAGGTGACCCTGGGATAGGAGATTGTTCTGAAGCTTTTGTATGTACTTCAGATCCTCCTAGCCTCACTTGTCTGTTACACCAGCCACCACTGCAGTGACAAGTTCTCTGCCAGCTCTCACCCGCTTTGCAAGGTGCAACCTCATGCCCAAGCCTGGTATTGTGTGTCTTGTCTCTTGCCCTCGGTCTGCTTCCTCGTGGGTCAGCACAGGAAGCCATGCATGTGACTTCCCACGTGCAGCCTGGAAATGGGGGTGCGTTAACACCTCCTGAGTGAACCTTTGGTCAGTAAGAGATAATTGCTGAGGAATAAACACTTTCTCTTTCTTCTCTAAGGAGGCACTTCTAAGAGGCACTTCTGGTGGCTTTTCAGAGCCCAATAACAAGCTTGCACATAAACATTTTTAGGAAACACAGGTAAGACCTTAGTCATAAAAGAAATGCTCTTTTTTGGGACAGTTTCTAGATCTGTATCAAAATAAGCGATTGTCTATCATTGCCATCCCAGGACCTATAGGATCTGTGGATTTAAGGTTCTCATTTTCATGAGTAGGGACTCCCAAGGACACTGACATATGGTCATTTGTAATAATGATACAAAGAAATCCTGGGAGTCTTATCCTGGCAGGGTCATTTGGTTAGTGAGAGTGACTCACCAGCTGAACATCTTCTTATGAATGTCCCTCTCAATTTTGGGAGTTTAGGAAAGTCACAAGCTTGACCTCCGTCAAATGACAGGGTGTTCCACACAGATCTGAACACTCTGCCCGCCACCTCACTATTTTTCTTCATCTCGGCCTCTTCCTCCTGCCCCCGTGCTCTGCTGACCACAGCTGAGACCCGGTAGGGTAGGCAGGGGATGCTGATTTGATGGTCTTATAGCAAATGGACCCTGGGCAGTAATTCCCGCTGCATCCCCTTCTCTCTGGCAATTATTCAGGGATAGCCTGCCCTGACTTAGGAACCATCTAAAGAGGTGGCATCTACATGTCCAATCTAGTTTGGAGAAAATGTAGCTAAAGTCAATCCAATATGTTAAATTTCAATTTTAAAAAACGACTAAAATGTATTTATTTGTTTATTTCAGTCCCAAAGGCATGTGCTCACTATCTAAATTCACAGCAGGGGGAAAGAATCAAACAGCACAGTCCCCAGGTTGTATGAGCTCCCCCATGGCCCCAGCTCTTTTCTCCTAGTCAGGAAGCCCTGAGGACAACTTTCACCATCAGTGCCTGTTGAGAACAACAGAAATGGACTCACAGCTGAAGCAGGGGACAGCCCCCCTTTTTCACGTCATTGTGTGGCTAAAGAGCAAAGCAATCATTTAATAAAGAAGACACTGGGCTCCAGCTCAAGCTATGAAATGACTGCATCCCGGAATTCCGGGTGGAAGCACATTTGTGAACTTCTGACACCTTCTCGCAGGTCAGATCACCCTATTGAAACATTCTATTACCACTAATGTACAGGTAACAAAACTATATTTACAAGACGAAACAGATTGCAAATAATTGCCTTTCTATTCTTTTCCTTGTTAAATCCTTTCCTCGCCTAAGAGGCCTTACAAAAGTTTTTCTCTAAAGTTTGGCCCTCAGTCCCCTTCTCTGTCTACGAAGACATAGAAATGGCTATCAGGTATATGAAAAATGTTCCATGTCACCAATCATTAGGGAAATGCAAATTAAAACCACAATGAGATAGAATCTTCTCCCATTCAGAATGGCATCTTACTAAAAAGACAAAAAATAGTAGATATTAGCAAGGATTGGTGGGAATGCAAACTAGCACAACCTCTACAGAAAACAATATGGAGATTTCCCAAAGAACTAAAAATAGCACTGCCTTTACTCACTGCTCAAATACCACCTATCTGCCAGCGACCCCTGCATTTGTATCTCCAGGTCAGACATTTCCACTAAGCTCTAGTCTTGTGTCCAACAGCCTTGTTGATTCCTCTGCTTGGATCCCTCCCACACCTACTCTGCTGTTCTGCCTTTAAGCTCCCATCTTTGTAAATGGCACCACCATACAACCCCCTCTTCAAGTCAAAAACTTTAATGCATCTTTTTTCCTCATCCACTGCATCTAATTTATCAGCAAATCCAACCCCCCTGCAAACTACATCTCAAGTCTCTTCTAATTTTTTTCATTTTCACTGCCACTACCCCTGTCCAGGACCTCACCATCTCTCACCCCAGTCACTGCAATGGCCTCGGAACTCTGGTCTCTCGGGTTCCCACTCTTATTCTCCTTCAGGGCTTTTCCTACAGCAATTGGAGGGATCCTTGAAAATTGTAAATTCGATTGTGTGGCACTTAAACTCTTCCAGTGGTTCCCATCATATATAAGCCAGTCTGAAAGGCCACACTGTACGATTCCAAACACATGACATTTTGGAAAAGGCAAAATGATAGAAAGAGTAGAAAGACTGGTGATTCCAGGGGGTGGGGGAAGGGAAGCAGAGATGAACAGGTGGCGGACAGGATATTTTGGACAGTGACACTATTCTGTATGATACTGGGAGGGTGGGTACATGTCATAAGACATTTGTCACAACCTATAGAATGTGCAACATATAGAGAGCGCCTAACGTATGCCCGTTGGTGCATCAGTTGTCATGAATGTATCTCACTAATGTAAGCTGTTCATGTGGGGTTGGGGGCATAGCTTGCTTATTTATATTTGCTTCATTCCTGGCACAAACTCTGGCGTAGGTCTTCAATACATTGTTTGTTGAACTTGTGGCACTGGCAATAAAACAAAACTTCAGATAAGATTTTGCCTAGGTAAACATTCAGAAAATGGCACAAGTGTGTGTTATAATTACGTCTATATCCCTGTTACATGAAATGAGTCTGACCTGTAATATCGTTGTGAGGGCAGAGACCAAATTGGTGTCATTCATTCACAATATATTCCCAGTGTCCAGCATTTTGGTGGGTGGATTGTAAGTGCTCAGTAATTATCCGATGAAAGACTAAATATATGAAAAAACTGAATGAAGGAAAGGCATATAAAACAGTGATATCTGTGCTCATCTGTGATTTCACTAAAGTCATTTAGATTTTTTTTTTTTTTAAGATAGAGTATCATACTCTGCCCTAGGGATAGAGACCAGATGTTATAGCTCACAGCAACCTCAAATGCTTGGGTTCAAGCAATCCTCTTGCCTCAGCCTCTGTAGCTGGGACTATAGGCACCTATCGTAATACCTGGCTATTTTTTTCTATTTTTAGTAGAGATGATGTCTTGCTCTTGCTCAGGCTGATCTCAGACTCTGAAGCAATTGTTCAAGCAATTCACCCACTTTGGCCCCAGAGTCCTAGGATTACAAGCTTGAGCCACTGTGCCCAGTTTAAAGTCAATTTTGATGTCAAATCTCAAAACAAGTGAAGCCAGCTCACAGCAGATGACCTGCAGTTGCCCCACAGCATGCAAGATGTACCTCTGGGTGACACCCCTGCAGTCTCTTCCATGGAGAATTCCTTTCTTCTCTTGCTCAGTTTTCAAAATTCTCAGTTCAAGCCTCCTTTCTTCCCAAAGTCCTCCCTAGTGTTCTCCAATCCCTTGGCCTTACTGAGACCCCCACTTCTGGGATGTGTTCTGCCCTGCGCATAGCAACATATTAATTCAGTAACTTAGGGCAAGCTACTTAATGTTCCTTTGCCTCAGTTTCCTTATGCGGAAAATGGGAATAATAAGATGGTTATTGTGAATTAGACCTAGGACCTTTCCAAATATACCTGGACACGTACAACTCTTCCTATTGTACATAATCACAAATTGATAGTATTTCCTTCCGTGGAGTCACCCTTTCCCCCCTCTACATGCAAAACCATCAAGTTTCTTTGTCTTAAAGTTTAGGGTCTTTTCTTGGCCCAGGTGAGGGTCTTCTCTAAGTACAGGTTTGCTTTGGAAAGTCTTAGTTTATAGGGGAAATAAAGCTGTATTTTTCAGGAAAATAGACAACCTCTCTAAGACTGGGAAGATGACAGGGACATGACAAGTTTCTATAAAGTGGGGTTGGGGCTGTCCTCATTCCCACCCTGAACCCAGAGGGGACTGAAACAGGCATGAAAGAACCCCTCCTCCCTGCCTCCCTCCCCTTCCCAGATGCTCGAATAGCCTAGGAAGGTAAGCGGGTTTCTGAGTATAAGACTCCCAACTAAAATTTGAGATTACAATATCCCAACTCTGGACGTAGAAGCTCACAGTCATATTTGACCTCATTTGGAACATATAAAGCTTATTTTAAGTTTTTTTCCTCTTCTTTCTGAATTACATGGAACAAGCATATGCCTCTTACATTTCTGTGTTTCTGTAACTCTATGTAAACATATGTGCCTGTATGTATTTGTTTGTATGTGACAGCATGTACAATGGGAGAAGGAAGGGTAGGTATTAGAATTACCAGATGTGGTAAATAAAAATATAGAATGCACAGTTACATTTAAATTTCAGATGGACAGTACATCATTTTTAGGATAAGAATATCCAATGTAGGATTTTGGATTTATACCAAAAATTATTCATTGTTTATCTGAATTTCCTTTGAGTGGGGTGTCTGTATTTTGTATGGCAGTCATAATGGGTACGTGTGTATGTGTGTGTGTGAGAGACACACAGGCAGGCATGGGGGTAGGGGGTTCTACTTGCATTACAAGATTAGAACTTTAATTTTTCTCTTAATTAAGACGGGTGAATATTCAGGAAGTCCTGGAATAAAGATAAAGAGACATATTCTAAAAGCCAACTGGACGGAAGGAGGTTTTCAAAATTCAGAGACCTCGGCCAACAAGCTGGAAAGACAAAACTGAAGCTCTTCTCTTCAGTGAAAGGGGCCAGCATCCGTCTGACTATACTTCCCTCAGGGGCCTGGAGGAGTATGGAATCTATCAGTCTGTTTTAGCGATATAGTGGAAACCACATGAACCCAAACCAAGCCTTCTATTTGCTGTGTGAGCCTAAATGGGTTACTCAACCTCCCTGAGCTTTAATTTCATTATCTGTAAAAAATGATTTTATGATATAAGACCTTGTGGGAACATACATGGGGATAGTACCTGGCATATTCTAATAACACTGGATTTCAATTGCCTGACGCATCTTGAAGTACACTGAGCCAGAGCCAAGAATACAGAAGCCCATTTTTATCCAGTTTCAGCCTTTCTCATTGTTCTTCTCAGTGGGGTCAGCTTTACCTTGATTCATGATTTCCAGAGGACAGCAGCACAGGGCCACGGTGTCTATTATTTTGTATTAATGAGAATCCCACTTAGAAATAATGAAGCTTAGACTGGGGCAGTAGGTGCAAGCTAAAACTGCTCCACATAAACTAGAATGTTCCAGGACTATCAGGACTTCAGTTTTAAGATCTTCCTTGGGTCTGTTTATATCCCTGACCTTTTCAAGCTGAATCCCCTGGTCCCTGGCATGACCCACAGATTTCTTTGATAGACACCGAAGTGTTTTGGCAAGAAAAGGATAGCCTGCCTCTTAGTATCACCATGATGCTTATGCCTGCTATAAAAAAGAGCTTCCTCAAAATCTAGGCCTGATATGTGGGTGGCCTTGCACATATCCCCATACCTCCTTTTCCTGAACAATCTGACAGCACCTGGGGATGGCAGCTGTAATGTGCCCTATCTGTTCCAATTTAAACAGTTTAATCCCCATCTCTGGCCCTACCAGGTGCTTTTGTGGTAGGATAAGGCTTACACCTGGTTATTTAGCAAAATTTCTTCCACTGACTTGGGTTGATAATTGCTTCATTGATGTGCCACATTCCTATAGGAGAATGAGAGGCCATTCTCTATCTCAGCTACCATGCCATCAAAAGAGTATGACATGCCCACAAATTTAATTAGTTCAGCCCTAGTAATCCAATCATTGAATGGTTTTGAGCATGTATTTGCAAAAGCTATAACTCTCTTTGGCTAGAATCTCTGTGCTCAGGCCTCTTGTTGTGGCCATAATCCCTCTAGGCCAGTTGCTGCTTCAAAGGGCCAATCATCTTGGATGGTTCCACAGTAAACACTTAAAGTTTGTCTACAAGGCCAGGCTGAAAGAGCTCTTTTCCAGTTGACTTGGTTTTATCAGCCACAAAAACAGTCACTCAATGAGCTATCTATGGCCGCATGCATGGTTGATCCAATTCAGTTGTTAAGGTGCCTGAAATAACATCAATCCCATTGATTGCTTTGCCATTAATGGCAATCAGCCCTTATGATGCTGAACCAAAAAACCTGTCTGATTGGGAAATCATCAATGGAGTCATAATTGGTCACATATGAGCTGAGTTAATGCAAAGCGACTATCTCTGGGTAGATCTCAGGGGACCTTTCCTTTCCCTAACTCCAAAAGCTAAGTCTTCCTGATTGGAATTATAATCAGGAAATGGCACATGTAGGAAGGGAAAGAGGAGG